AATGCGGCCCGAAGGTGCACCCGCACCCGCCAGATTTGGCGGCGGTGGTAGCGGTGGCGGCGGCGATGAACATGCCCGGGATCCGAGTTAATTTTCCAATCTGCTACACAACAATCATAGCGAACAATAAGCTCATCTACTCGACGACTATGACTACAACTAGGCGACTACTGGCTGGGGGGCGGGCGCTCGCGGTATTTAATGATAATAATTATAACGCGAGAGCGCCGAAGAGCGACTCATCAACGAATGCGAATTCACTTGTGATATGTGTGAGCGCCCGCGCACAGTTCTCTATTGCGTGCTTGTAGTCGTCATATTTCGTTGCTCTAGTCTGAACACCGCGAACAACTCGCACAACAAATCCATTATACTTTGAAGCGCGTTGAGAGAATAGAACCGGTCTTTGCATATATGCAATAAATACTCGCGCGAACAAAGCGTGCAGACTGCACGGGCAAACAAAATTCATCATGAAATTGATTATTTATTAGTTTTCAAGTTTAGTTTAGTTTGTTGTGTAGGCAACTTGTTTAACACTACGTATGCGTAAGTTGGGTTGCATATAAATGAGTATTAATCTAAATTGAATTCGGACTGGGCAAGTTTTAATCCGGCGTATATTCTTGACATTTTTATGCAAAATACAAGAGGAAAATGTAATAATGGCTGAATTGTCGTCGGGGCCCTTCGAGCTCACGTTGCAAGAAATTAGAATACGGATGCAATTCCTCGTCGTGCGATGTTGTTTTTTTTATGATTGTGTTTCGTTTTTATTTGCTTTTCGATTTTCTTTTCGCGTGGCGTAGGTATTTCTGCGCGACGGAAGTTGCAAGTCGCAGGTTAGCCATTTGCATTTCGCATTTATGCACGGGGTGCCATTTTGTCCGTTGGCGTTTTCTTATTTCCGTTCATTTCTCTCATTAAAAGTTTATTTTTTCAACAAAAATTTTTTTCATCGTGTTTGTTTTATGCTGCTCAATTTTCTCTAGATTAGCATAAAGCTTATATTTAATTTTGTTTTTTTTCGCTTGCCTGGAATTTGTATACTAAGTAGGCGCAAATATCAATATATATTTTAATTAGACTATGAGCACGTTACAAAGTCATGTAAACAAGCAGATAACAATCCTAGAAACGCCTAGTTGGCAACATCTCCTCCCGGCACTTGAACGCGTACTCTAGCTCATCATTTGCTCAATTTGTAATTAATGAACATGTAATATAATGTTCTGTCAGTTTGTGCACTCATTGTTCGGCGCGACGTCGCGCGCTTCTTCATGTTTAACCGGCTTTATCAGAAAATGGAGCATATCAAAAGGGTAGTTAATCGCGCGCGCGCATATGCAAATTGTGCTCGCTCGACGGGGTGCGTTTGTCGTATGAGGTTGAGGGTGTATGTGTGTCGGTTAATAACGAAATGGCGTCCGGAATGTGCGCGCGCGCCACTTAATCATCTTACTCATGTAAATATCCTCGAGGCGACGCCTTGCAATCTTCCAAAATTTGTCACATACTGGAATTTAGATTGAAAAACATAGGCCACCAATTATACATTTAGTATGTGTATATTGGGTTGCCTATTAATAGTTTATTTCAGAGCTATCGGTTTTTATTCTTTTATTCAAACATTTTTGTGTTTTATAATTTCTCAAATGCGAAAATAACCCAGGCAACTAATTATACACTTATGATGTGTATGTTGGGTTGCATATTAATATTTTATTTGCGAGCTATTGGTTTTTATTCTTGCATTAAACGTTTTCTGTGGATTATTTGAACGGAAGCTATAGGAAGCTATTTCCGGTTGGCATTTTCTAGCTCAACTTTTACGTTCCAATAGATAATAAAAGCATAAGAAGCATGAAAAGTGCACGGAAGTGAAACGTTTGAAAATAAACACACGGTGTAGTGGTGCTGGTGGTGTGCGGAAGACACGAAGCTGGATGCACTTATCTTTGTACATCTCCTTCGTAAATGGTTGCATAAAAATTGCACGATATCACTGTTCGCTGCAAGTTCGCAACTAAACTCGCAACTTGCGCGCCGCGCGCGCGGAAACTTGAAAACTAAAATCACAATTTTATTATTTAATAGAGTGCCTAGTTTATGCTTTAGTTTCCGAACTGTTTCGAAAAGAGTATTTTTAACTTTGTGCGCGCACACACGATTGTTAGTAGTTTTGATTAGATTTTACGACTAGCGCCATCTATTGGAAAATAATTCCGAATTGTTGTGGTAATATGTCTGGTATGACTTTGTTTGCAATATGCAAGGGGGTTGTTTGTGGCTCGTGTTTCGCTTCAATCGAAATTAATTATATAAATTGCGCACTTCTCAATTAACATCCGGCAGACGTTAACGCGCGCGCTACGGGTTGCAGACCCCTTTTTGCGGACGTGTTTTGGTTTGTCTACTAATTAATTAAAGCGATCTCACCCTTCTTTTCCGCATTGCACCGACGATTGCACCCCTTTTCAATCGGCCACCATCAGTATGCACTTGTTTATACGTGAACGATGAGCTCTCTTAACCCCTCGGTCAAACAACAACGAAAAAATTAATTGCGCGCAGGTTATTTATACGTAGCTATGTAAAATTCGGTCGCGTGGCGCTCGCAATTATTTGGAAAGAGGATCAATTGATTGCGGTGAGACGGAAATGGGTGGGAGTGCGGTCGCGGAAAGGAAGCGCAACAAAGTTGCGATTAATCGCTTTTTGCGTCCTCGGCGGGGATTAATGGGGAATGTTAATTGATTTTTTGTGTGTCACGAGGGACCCCTTCGGTTATCCGCTATCGGATGATAGGCAACCCAATATACACTCGGCACTTGAGTGCTGTAAGAAGTGCGGAAACAATGAGTGACAAAGGTTAGTTTTTGAGGTACGGAAAACTTTATATATATATATATACAGAGTGTTTACTACATGTCATTTTTTTATCGTGTTTGTTTTGTTGTGGTTTTGGCTAAAATAAGCTCGGGCCATAGTTCATTGAAAACTTTCCTCATTATGTCGGTTAAGAGTCGCCCCATGCCGACATTCTCAATGTCGCCGGTTTTGCGCGGTCGTCGCCGTTGTTGTTCTTGTAATACCGAAGCTGTGTGACGCTTGTAACGGCGTCCCGTACACGAATTAAACGAAAACGGCCTTTACTTGGCGACAACGACTTTGTGGTGGAGGCGCAGGGCGTGTGTGTGTGCGTGGGCGCGCTGCCACCATTACACTTCCTGGCACACTTGTTTATTTGTTACGAAATTACAAAATTGAAACGTGCCCGCTTTCAAAAGACTATTTAATGTAATCTACGACTTTTGTAAGTATATTTAGCCGTAGGCCTAATTTCGTTTTGTATGTGTGTGTGTTTTTTTTTCAATTAACTGCGCGATCAATATTAGACACGAAGAATTTAGTTATAGTGGGTGTAGGTTTACGTTTCTTTTCTTTCTTTTCCGGTTTGGGTAGGTAATTAGTTGCAGTGGAAGTTGTGGGTTGAAGGAACGTCTCGATCGAACGGCGGCACTACTTGTAACACAGCGCCGGAGTCGTTAATGTGGAAAATTGTAATTATTTTTGAACGTGGAGGAGTAATAATGCACAATATGAAAGCGGAAAGCGTGTGGCAGCTTTCGAAAGGAGAATGAAGAGCATGCGGCTATAATTAAACTCGGAGGGTATTTATTAAAGCATAATTAGTTTTGAATCAGAGTCGGAATTTCGTGTGTTGCACGAAAAAATCAACCAGCAAATAAGATAGATTAATAGCATATATTTGATTATAAATTTAATATTTTACCGCGGATAGCGGATGTTTATTGCTAGATTTAGAATGAATATAAATGGCGAATGGTTTTGGCAATCGTGATCGCAAACGTTTTGGCCGTTTCGTCGCGTTATCGCCGTCGTCCGACTCGCATAAATATTTATGCGAAAATATCATCGCCGCGCACAATAATATCGCAGTAATGTGCAATAACTGTTATTCGACGAGCATACCAAAATGTTATACACACATAGTTGCTATTTTATGCTACTACACTAAGGATAACTAGTGCTTGCTTACTAGTGTGTGTGTGTGTGGGTTGTGTTTTGGCTTGCAGTCGGGGCGGGAATTGTATATTTGCCTTGAAATATGGAGCATTATTTATATTAAGTGCCAGCGTGATAATAACGATAATAATGATGTATCTCAACAATGGAGATATAATGTGTTTTGTATGTATTCACACAATTGTTGTCGCATTTTGAATTAATTGGTTTGTGGAATTATTACTTTTGAATCGTTTTTTCGTTTTAAAATTTTAATGGTGCAATTACGCAAACAAGGCTTTCGATGGCGAATGATCGCCGATGATCGCAAATTGAAATATTATGTTCGCATTGCAGTGGATCGCTTACGCGCACAAACAATCGGCTATTAGCATTAAAAATGCACGAACGGATCGCCGGTCGGTCGCAAGTCGCGCCTGCTTCCGGTTGGAATGTGGAGGCGCTGCGCAACAATTGCAATTGCGTCCGGGGGGCGGTATTAATCAAAACGTTCGATTTTCCGTCGCATCCACAATGCAATATTGCGGGTTTAGTTAGTTTAAATATAAAATAATGCAAGTGGCGACATCTAGCGGTGAGTAGTTTTGCAATTACTTGCTGGGAAAATGGGTTTTGTTAGGTGGATGTTGGTGGGTGTAATGTTGGTATTATGTTAAGCACTTGTTGATGGCGGTGCGTGGCACACGACGAGTATGCCCCTCGCGTTGGTAGTGCGAAGCGGAGGCGGCGTGAGCGCACGCGAATGGCGATTTATCGACGTCGCGAAAGCACAATCGACTGGCAATCTAGCGCAATCTACTCGCATCTCGACTCTCGTTCACTAATATCACGAGCGCACAAATCGAAAGCTCACTCGAGATGTTAATCTCATCGTTTCTGCACAAACGACATGGGGTGGCGCACTTTTTTTTCTTCTGTATCTAATCGAAAGTGGTTTAAAATTGACTCACCTTTTGCGTTTATTCATTGATGAATATGTATTGATAAGTTTGTGAAACTTGTGATTAGTTTTCGTGGATATTTTGCGATCATTTTTGCACCGATTGAGAGAGGAAGCGTCTACGAGGATATGTTGATAGGCGGCGACGGCGGCGGCAGTACTGGCGCGGTGTGTGCGTGCGTGCGAGCGCGCCCGCCGAGGTACGAAAACGGCGGCGCGCGCGGGCCTCTACCGCTGCCTGCCTGCCTGCCGCCTCCGACGAGGCGCCGCTCACCGTAGTAGCGGTCACGCCGGCGTCGCGCCATCCACGACACAACGTACGCGTTCGCCGCCCGAAACTTTGCTCTGTTGTCGATATATTGCCGAACGCGAGAGAAAACATTATTCAGTTTTAGTGTACAAAATTCCAGTTTAATAATTAATTAAAATTAATAGTGCGTGTTTTGTGCTCAAAAATTCTATCCTGGTTTGATCAGGATTAAAAGGATACATGACTCAATTCAAGCACGTTGATGTGATGATGTTAAGAAATGGTGCACCAACGAATTGCGTGAATTATGGATGGGAAATTTGCGAAATTTAGCAATTTCGTCTCGAACCATCGTAAAAAATCGCAATCGACGCTGATTTGTCGCCGAGTGCAACGATCATGACTAGAAAGAAAGTCCTGCGACGAATATCGCATCAATAAATAGCTACAAATTTCTAATCCGAAGTAAAAAAAAATAAATTCCATTTTACGGACATTACCAGTCAACAACCTGTGATTTTGCAAATAATTATTCATCGTAACGAAGTTAAATTAAATAAAAATAGGGAAATTTTTTCAAACCGCGTAATGAATATTTAAGTTACGGTATTGGAAATTACACAGTAACGGAATAAATTAATGGAAGTAATAACCAATGTAAATACGAATGAAATAATCAATCAAGGTGCGTTTTTCTTCGAGCCTTGAAAGAAAAGCAAATCCGTTTCAACCGGCGATTAAGTGAATGATTACATTCATTATGTGAGACGGAAATTGAAGTTGTAGTGAAATTACGATTGTATATTAACCCAGTATCGAAAGAAAACCCAAAGTATTTTCACGTTCGATTTGGATCCTATGTAAATAATTTAGATGTATGAATTAACACAACCATGAAGGATAACAACGACAATAGTGTGGTGTTAATTGTGTGTGATTGTGTGCGTCTGTGATTCGCATCCTGCGGAGCGAGAGATAAAAGAAAAGGGGTTTGATACAAATTTTCTATTTCCACTCTCTTGATAACAGGTAGCACGATGACGGCCCCTCCATTGACGGGGGTCCGCCTTTTGGCCGCCCTTTTCGTCCTGATGACGTTTCAACGAGTCTTCGCAACCGGTGAGTCTTGAAACAATTTTTTTATTGATAAATTTACATTAACTTTAGATTTCTGTGATCGGTGTGTAAAAATTAGTCGTTTATTTTTATTTTGTTGATTTTGTAAAGTTTAGACCTTTGTGACATTTATCGTTTTACACTTGTCGGCGTATACAGAGTGTTGTGTAAATATCCTATACATTTTGTATATGTCGATGGCTGCGATTTTATTTCCGGCGAAGAAAAAGCGTGTGTGTGTCAGTTTTTTGTATTTTTTTTCTTTGAGAATTCTTGCACGTTGCATGCGATGCGTCAATAAAATAAAGTCCGTGCACTTCGGGGTTGCAAAACGTGAAGCGTGCGGGGTTATCTTTATCTAATCGTCGTGTGCGTACGATGCGATATAGTTTTAGAGCGTGGGTGTTTGTAAACTGTACGAATACGAAAGTTTGATGCGCATCTATATGAGATGCGCGTGGGAGGTGGAGGAAAGGAAAAAGTTATAATTGGCTCTGTAGTCAATTATGTCACTGGGGTCGATAGTTTGAAATTCTATTGATACTTAAAATCACTATTAAATATCGTGCGGCAGGCGCGCTTTATTTATGACATCGGCTTGTGAAGAAGTTTAAAATGTTTGATAAAAGTTGAATCGACTTGTAAAAGTTGCGATTTTTATAAAGATTTTTTTATGATTAAACTATTGAGACTCTTAAATATAACTTATATTAGTTTTTCTGCCGTTTTTATGCATTTTTTGTGCAGAAATATATTTAATTTTAAAAATAACGCTATGCAAATATCCCAGTGTGGATTTCAATGTGGATTTTGTTGAGTTAAGCTTGCCAGCTGTTTAAAATTCCGCCCGAGAACAAATAGAATTTGTCAGCGGTGGTTTTTCAGGCTTTTTTGGTTCGTTAGTTATCGATTGTAATGCAACACTTTGCACTTTGCATCGTCGCGGTCGGACGGGCGGGCAAGGCATGGCGCGCTCATTGTAATTTATAAATTTTCATAATTTCGTTTTCATAAAATTCCGCCTTATCCGATTTCCCGCTGCGCTGCGCCGTAGAATTATCTTTTTGTCTCGCGTTTCGTTTCGATGGTAGTGTAGGTACCAGTGGGTTTTTCGTTGCCGCCCCCGCTCCGAGCGCATTCCGCTCAGTTATAAAGCTGTTATATTTATGTTTATTGATGTTACGTACTACCGCGCGGCGCGCAACTTCATGCACACAAGCTGCACTATCAAATTATACCGAGTGGTGGAAACTTTTTCGATTTTTTCGCGATTTTTAATTTTTTTTTGTGTTTCATCATGGTTGAAGTTAACCGGGTGCATTGCAACCACTTTTGACTTGCACTTGTTTTTTGGTTCAGTTTTTTAACTTACCTGAAGTATTCGCTATGTTTCGGTGTACAATGCAGCCGTAATTTTGCCAAACGTGCAGTGATGCCCGGAACAATGTCTGTCCGCCGGCAAAAGCTTCCCAAAAATTCGTGTAAAATAAAAAGCGCAAACGAAACCAAACAAAAACCTAGCCGGCATATAAAAAAATATACGCGAACATAAAGCACTTGCCAGTCTGCTCCATGTACCATGTACTCCAACTTTTTTATTTTGATTTTTTTTTTGCGTTTCGTGATTCACGCAATAACGCAACAACAACTTCATGTTGTGCGAATTTAGACATTTCTGAGAGCGTATTATTTTAAATTATTATACATGCGTGAGGTTAATGAAAAACGTGAAACAAAAAGAAAACGAATAATTACGTTGTGCTCGATAAATTACATTTGAATAAATCAAATACTGATTTGAAGAGTCAATTATTTTCTGTCTACGAAAATATCTTTCAAGATTTGTGCAAATTCTGTTTTTTTTTGTTTCGCGACCTTTAAAAGTAGAAACGGTCAAAAATTGCGTGCGTGCACAATGAAAATCGATAGATTTGCGTATTGTGTAACGCAAAAACTTAACGAGTCAGATTTAACTTGTGTTAAACGCGAAAGAAATAGGCTTTTAGGGCGGGCGTCTCAAGGAGAAACGGCTAAACCCCGAGAATTATTTGTGTGTTTGCTGTTTTTATTTCGAAGTTGCTCGCTATCGATTATTTACCACCGGCCGGAATGTGCCAGTTGTGTGCACTAAATGTGTACGGTTATTTTCTCACTTTTTACGAGCACTTTAAATGTGTTTTTAATGTTAAACAAGTTTTATCGAGCGCTAAACGTCTACAGAAAAATTACGTTTTTTGATTAAAACACTAACTCTGCAAAAACCCAACGCAATTGTTTATGATTAATCTATAGAAATTATTTTCCGATCGGCATTGTTTTTTGTATTTAGTATACGGTGTCAATGTGTACACTTATCAACGTTTCGTTGACGGTTTTTAATTTTTTCTGTTCACTACACTGCTGTGCGCTCATTAAAAGTTGTTTGCTTCTTACGTGGGTACGTGCGCGTGGCGATAGCGTCCATTAAAATTTTAAATTACGACTTTTTACGCCTATTCCCAGGATTTTCACTTGATTTTTTTTTATGGCTGAGAAACACACGTTCTTGTGCTTAGCATCGATTGAATATTGTGCTCACGCATTAATCGTTTATGCGAAACCGGAAAACCATCAAATTCGATGAGTATTCAGATGTAGATGAAGTTTAAAGCAAGATTTTCATGGAATTGATTAGGTTTATTATTCTGAAGCATGAGTGTAATGTTGGTTGCATACATATTTTGCTTTATAACCTGTTTTGAAGCTTTTAAAAAATAAATTTTATTTTTTTTATTCGATTTGCAATGAAACCAAAGATATTTCCAGCTTTTGGAATAAAAATAAAAAATCTTTGTGTATTTGTTTGAGTAACCGTATAAGTATAGATTTCACATGAAATTGTCGCCTCGCATGCCTTTGGTTTTCGGCTGCCCGAAAACGAAGGAAGTTGAGTCGTTCGTGCGCGCCGAGTTTCGCTCCGGATTTTCCAACTTTTACGCTCGCGCGTACCGTAAATTCTCACATATTTCCAGGGGCGTGCGCGCGCGTATGGCCGCCGCCGCTGCTGCCGCCGCCATACCATTTAGAAAACACGTGCATGACGTACTCTAATACTATTCATGCATCGTTAGGGTTTCCCCCGGTTCCATCAGGAACTTGCACGGAACGCGGCCGTAAAACTAAAACTGCCGCAGCCTGGCGGCGCAGGGCAAAAAACTAAAACTAAAAAGTAGTAAAGCGAAAAAATGGGCAGGAGAGGAGAAAAAGCACACACGCACACACAACGGAAGAGGGAAAGATAAAAACTTGTCCCCGCTGAAATACGCGCCGAATGGGAAAATTTAAAAATATATGCATTTTTAAAAAAAGATTAGTGTGTGGAAAACAAAAGATTTGATAAGTTTGGCGCCGCGGGCTGCATGAAACGGATGATTAAATTAGCTAATCTACGTTTTCACGGAAAACGCCGTCGCCGGCATTAGGTTACATCCGGGCAGTTGAGGGTAGCGTTAATATGCTTTAATACAAAAACACATTTTGTCCATTTATACCAACAACGTACTACTCTCCGGTTACTAACTATCTGGAGTAATTCTATCCGCGGGCGTGAAAACGTAAAAAATGTGCCAGGGACACATCAAGAACTTTAATGGATGCATTAAGCATCATTTAACTAAACTTTATAATGTCTTTTGAAGATAATTTTCAGTATTTTGGAACACATTGTATATAAATTAAATATTTCAAATAAAAATCAGATTTTCTTCGGGGTTTAAAAAGAAAACTGCAGTCAAAACTAGAAAATAACGCAAGATAAAAATACAAATTTATACATCAGCTCGAAGAAACTGCAAGGATTTCGCCGGTTGGCGCATAAATGTATACTTAATCTGAATTTCATGATGTGCGCCCGCAGAGGAAATCCTTTCGACGTCAAAATTGCATCTCGAAACATTTCGCCCACATACGCACGCATTTATTTCCGCAAATATAAACATATCCATCTACCAATTGGCTATTATATTATTATGTCATATCTGGTTACATAATAATTCGGTATTATGTCAATTGTATAATTGAATGATGAATGTGAACAATGTGTGCGCATCCATAATTGATGATGCACTTTTTGACAACGTTTTGACTGCATTTCGGTGTTGGTGTCGGACGTTCATAATCAACTCGACACGACTTGCGCGGCGCCTCCACCATTTTGGCTTCGATATTTCGATCGGAATATCCGATGGATATTCATCCAGGTTGGCGAGGATGAACTTTTGGGCGGTGTGCGCGAGAGGATGGGTTTCGATGGTGAAACTGACAAGGATGGGCTGATCCTGCGCCGGATTGAGACAGGACAGCCGCGCTGGCATAATATTAGCGGACGACATGGTCGAGCACTTTGGCTCGCCTGTTTTATTAATGGGGTGTATTCGCTGATTGACATTTACCTCAGGAATATTAAATATTTGTAGCTTGACCTGCGCTGCGCCACGCGGAAATAGATCGTATAAATAGTATTCGCTGCTAATTCTTTTTCTTTTGGGAACACAATTGAAGTGGATATATACAGGGTGTTGGCGTAAGTTTAATGCAGTATGAGTTATTTATTTTTATTGGCTGCTTTTTTGATGCCGGTGTGTATGTGTGTATGGATAAAATTGTGAATGTTTACCAATATGTCTGCGCAAACATTTTCGGCGTGTTTGGTCATTTTGGAAACGACCTACATCACGCCGGGGCGTACACATCTGATGCCGGTGATGTTGGGTTTGCTTCCCAAACAGAGTGCACCATTAATTATGCATCGCTTCGCTCCGGTTCGTTTTCGAAACGTTAATTTATCGTTGGATTTTCGCCGCGATCAGCACACGCGATGCCCTCGAACATTTAGCTTATTTCGGCTTGTTCCATACTCGGGTGTTGTTTTTACGGTTGTGTTGTTAAAAAATTCGTTTTTGAAGTTTTTTTTTTGTCGTCGTCGTCCTCGCACGTCTATCACAATTTGTGCAATTTTACAAATG